AGGAACGGGCATGTGTGAACCTCATGGGGTTCAACAAGGCCAAGTGCAGGGTCCTGCACCTGGGTCGGGGACAACCCCCAGTATCAGTCCAGGCTGGGGGATGAAGGGATGGAGAGCAGCCCTGCCCAGAAGGAATTGGGGTATTGGGGGATGAAAAGCTGGACATGAGGTTTTCATGTCAGTGACATGACACAGCCAAGTGTGTCCTGGGCTGCATCCAAAGCAGCGTGGCCAGCAGGTCGAGGCAGGGGATTCTGCCCCTCTGCTCCGCTCTGGCAAGACCCCATCTGGAGTCCTGTGTCCAGCTCTGGAGCCCTCAGTGCAGGAAAGACATGGGCCTGTTGGAGCAGGTCCAGAGGAGGCCACAACAATGGTCAGAGGGCTGGAACAGCTCTGCTGTGAGGACAGGCTGAGAGAGTTGGGGTTGTTCAGCCTGGAGAAGGGAAGGCTCTGGGGAGACCTTATTGCAGCTTTCCAGTACTTAAAGGGGGCTTATAAGAAAGATGGGGACAGACTTTTTAGCAGGGCCTGTAGATAGGACAAGAGGTAATGGTTTTAAATTAAAAGACGGTAGATTTAGACTAGATCTGAGGAAGCAATTTTTGACAATGAGGCTGGTGAAACCCTGGCCCAGGTTGCCCAGGGAGGTGGTAGATGCCCCATCCCTGGAAACATTCCAGGTCAGGTTCGACAGGGCTCTGAGCAACCTGATCTAGCTGAAGCCGTCCCTGCTCATGGCAGGGGAGTTGGACTAGATGACCTTTAAAGGTTCCTTCCAACCCAAGCTATTCGATGATTCTATGATTCTGTGACACCTTTGACCATTGTTGTGACTCTCTAAATGGAGTCCATAAGCCAGTTCTCATGAGGCCATAAGCCTCATACCTCAGGATAGCAAGGCTTTACAGCAATTGAATTGAAATGCTATATAGCAATTCAAGAAAGATTTCATTCATCACTGTACCAAATGCTTTTTAAACACTAACTGTCCTTGCCTAGGGATTTGTGTTCCCCATCACTACAAAAACCCATCCTGACCTTCTTCCTTTTACTTAGTTTGCTATGCTACTCTGAGAGCAAATTCTCTGAAGAACAAACTCAATTGCACATAGCCAAGAAAGTGTTCTTACCTTTCTTTTGTGAGGAAAACATGTGGTTTCACTAGAAGAATTCCGTATCTGTGAAAAACAAACCAATACAGCCAGTTAAGAGCCACATCCTTGATGTGTTGAGCTGATTCATGTTAACCTCACAGCAAACAACAATAAATCACCATCTTTTCCACTCAGCCTCCCTCAGCAAACAACCCCATGATCTCAGGCACATGATCTTTAAAGAGGCTGTTTCACTCCTTGCCCGTATCTTGTTACCAGGGTCGCTTCCCTAACAATATCTAAGGAGGAAAATTCAGAGATTTTAACAAACCTTTCAGCAAATTCCTGAAATGAGGGTCTCCAGGAGAAACCATCTCTTCGGATACGGATTGTCTCCAGCAGTCCATTGTACCGGAGCTGAAGCAGAAACAAAGACAAATAGGTCATTAGGATATCAGTTTGTTCCTCTGCAGCCAGAAATGCCTTCATTCATCCCTAAACTTCTCTAGTTCAAAACGAAAAGGTTTCTTTCTGAAAATGTTTCCTTGGTTAAAGACTGAATTTACCGCATCCTGTCACTCTGATGATTAACCACTCTCAGCTAAAAGTTGGAATCCATAAAAGCCAGTGACTGAAATAATTTCACCTTACAGCCATGGGTACTGCTTTCCCTCTGTCCCTTAGAGGATAGCTTTTTATTTCCAAATCTGGACAAAGAAATACTCTGAGGCACGGATGAACTTCCCTCTTAATCCTATCCTTTTTTATATTTCTATATTAGTCTATAAGTCTATATATATTTCTATTTAAGTTTCTACATTAAACAGGCCACAGAGCTTTCTGAACTCTTCTAATCATTTTCAGTATTCTTCAAAGTGTCCAGATCTCTGACCTGACACAATACCCAAAGACAGTCATATCACCACATTTCAGTTCCTATCAAAGTGATTCCATCTTGGCTCCTATTCAGAGCTGCCCTGGCTGACGGGTGAGAACAGTCTCCTCCAGGAAGCATCATTTTTTCTGGAGTACTGTCTCTATCAGTCCTCATCCAGGAGATGCAAAGATGAATCCTAGTCCCTGACAAGCAGATCTCATTGCATTCATGAAACAGAAATGGGACAGAACTAAGATTGCAAAACTGGACCTAGCAGTCTGTGTCACAAAAACAACCAAGTACCCAGAACCTTTACACGCATAGGAAGTGTGCCTACACTTTCCCTTGCAAGAGGAGACTCAGACACCAGTCAGCTTCCAGGTATCTTCCTCAACCTTTCGGTGGGGTCTGCCCTCCCCACTGAGACATGGCAGAAATAGCTGTGAAGGACACTGCTTTTCCTCACCTGCAGCAGCACCAGCTGGCTGTCCACCACACCTGGCTCCTTCTGGCTGTTGGGCTTTATACAGCGCACAAAGTGTGGGTTGGCAGAATACATCCTCTCCATGAGCACCATCAGGGAATGCTGGCGAGGGCAGAGAGAGATCAACAGTCCAGCAAGCCAAAGCACTGCCAGAGCCCTGCGTGCAATATCCTGCAGCGAGAACTGTTTTCCCACCCTGCAGCAACTTCTGAGGCTCTGATAAAACTCCCGTCTACATGCTGGATGCTTAGCATCCTGGAAGCTCTCACTAAAATATCACTGCACTCATCTCAAGGGGCACTGCAGGGCAGCAATACTTTACCCGGAACTGAGCTCCGGCAGACTGTTTTCGTGTGCTGTTGAACTTGTCGTCTGCTCCTGGTATGACCTGGAACCAGACCCAAACAAAAAATCACCCATGGAAGAAGTGCTTGACTGCCATCCAAAAAGCATTGCTGGAAGGCAGGTGGCAAAAAGGAGAGAGAATGCATTTCAGGGGAGGGAAAACAAGCTCAGCATATCAGCAGAAGCAAGCAGAAAACCCGGTAAAAAACAAAGGAGAAATTGTTGCAAGCAGATTGCTGTCTGCTCTTATTTTCAATCCATTTCTGTCTGCTCTCATTTTCAGCCAGTTACTCAAATAATAAATATCAGGTAACTATGCCATCATTTATCAACTGCCATGAAGACCTGAAGTGCAATACCTTGGCTTTCACATGAGGCATCAGTGTCCCCGTTCTGGAGATAGTGGCTGGAAGAAGAGAGGCAATAGTTAATTTTATACCTTTGCTCGCAATCAACAATGTCTAAACATTCAAACCTCACGTCGCATGCAAGTCTCCTTACAAATACTGAATCATAGACAGGGTATTAGGTTTCACCATGTGGAAATACAAGGAAAGAGCTAAAGAAAGGGTGAAGAAAATGCAACTATATGAAGCATACAATGCAGCCAATACTATTTTCTGCCACTGAGAAGACAAGGCATTCAGTTTATTGAACAACCCTAAATGACTTTCAAAAGAAATATCATCACCGGGCATCTAACAACGCAGAAAAAAAGGTACGGATAGCAAATGGGAAGCTCACCTACAGCAGTCAAGATGGGAGGTTAGATAAAGTCAGATAGCTGACTAATTCAGTGACAAGATAAAAAATTCAGAGAAGCTGAATTTACTGAGGGATCTAATGGCAGCCTTGGACACCCTTAATGCAATGGTGTCATGTGAATCATAGAATCATAGAATCGTTGACGTTGGAAGGGACCTCTGGAAGTCATCTGGGCCAATCCCTTCGCTCAGCAGGGCCACCTAGAGTCAGCTGCCCAGGACTAGACAACCAGTCTGAGAACAGATTATCTCTGCTGTTTATGAATTTTCAAAGAGTTGGAACTAGACTAAGTATCTTCAGCAACAGTGTGGAAGTGGTAATGAAGAATGATACTTCTGAGCAGGAGCTGAAAAACACGGTGGAGAATAGATGTGAAATTCCTCAGTTGTAAATCCCAGAAAGCAGCATGGACTGAACAGGACAAAAAATAAAAAAAAAGAAATTCTGCACCAGAAGCACTGTGTTCAGCTAGGCAATTTCCAAGGAAGCATCCAGCTGATTTTTCTTTAAATAATTACTTTCATAGAAGCCTTGGGGACTCTGAGGCCTTATCAATAACTGGAAAAAGGGAGTGTAGTGGTGGGAGAGAAACAATGCACAACCTCAAAGTTCTTTAACAAGTTGTACTTGAAAAACAAAAAGTGTTTGAAAAGAATAATCTCTACGCTCATTGCTTGCGGCTTTACAGCACTCTGTTTTCAGTCTGAACAGCTAGAAGCTATGACCTTGTCCAGCTTCATTTCTAGACAAGAACAGAGCATATGGAAAGGCCAGGAGACAGTCCAGCACTGGCCCTGGAGAAGATGGGCTATCTGATCTGAAGGAAGACGTCTGAGCAATGGCTAATTCTCTGGAATAGGATACAATCTGCCTTGCTTTCCAGGGTGGAACGAACAGCTCTGACAACGTGGTACATGCCAGCAGCCCCACCTCAGGCTGCAGTCTTCCCAGAGTCTCCTTGGGGCTGCCAGCTGTCAAACACATTCATAGCACACAAGCCTCATCCCCACACTTAACTCTTGCCAAGCTGGGCCTTGATTCATGTGGGGTGCCCTATCACAGCAGAGGGACTTGCCTGTGAACAGCACACTGAGCAAGGGGGTGACGCTGTTGATGAAAAGCCCTCGGACGTTGGCTGGCAAGGCGTCTCTGTTCTTCTCTAGAAAGCCCCCAGCAGTATATTGTACCTAGGGGAGAGGGCAGCAAGTCACCAAGGCCAGCAGTGCTCACTGGCGTGCTGTGAAAGCCACCTCCACAGCTTGCCAGGAGCAGCTGTTAAACTGAAGGTACACTGGCTTGCATGTGAATTTTGTACGTGCATATGCTCCCCATTCAGATGTAAATGCTGAGGAACGGTTTTGTTCCTCAATCCTGCGGATGGCACTGAGGCATTAGAACCACAGGAGTGCAGCATAACACTGAAACATCCACATTTTCTTGTTCTCCTTTCCTTGATTATCAAGTTTCATTTACTTCTGGTTTATGCTTCACTGTTGTCCTTGCTCTCCCCCTCTTCCCTTTGAATACGCTTCCATCTTGTTGTCATGCATCCCCTTGTTTCTCTTGCTCCCTTCCTCATCTCCAGCCTGCCACTCTGCTTTTTATGCTAGGTGTTAATTTTTGTAATAATGTCACAAGTACTAACTTAGTCAACAATGGTGAGATTAGATTACTAAATTACATATCATAATGACCTGAATTGTCATGTCTGGTCCTGCTCCAAAATTATGTCCAATCAATTCAACAATGGGCCAAAATTGGTGGCAGTAAGGTTATATGCAATAGTCCTAAACCTCAAGATGTTTAGATACCACCGCATGTGTAAATAAGTACCTCCATTTTCAAAACAGTAACTACCCAGCTGCTCTTACCGTGTTCCTCAGTGTTTGCAATAAAATAGTGACTGCTATGCTCTGGAACCCAATATGTAAAGGTAAAGCCTTCAGACTGTCCTTTGGTGCTACACAGTGGATACAGGGCTTTTGTTTTGTAATGGACTATTTTAAGACTAGAGCTCCAATAGAATGATGATGAATACACCAGATTCTTCTAATACCCTATGCTTCCCAGAGGTACCCTCACTTTTCTCAGGGGTCCTCTCTTCCTATACCTTCTACAGAAATCCCAGGGAATCCTAGAAGGCAATTCCCTGGGAACACATCACTTCTGCTTTTATCATCATTAGACCATACACTCCTTAACATCAAAGCCTTATTTGCCAAGTAACACATTTCCCCCCTCTTATATACATTACAACAACATTCTTCCTGCAGACAGTACATACTTTCCCAGCATAGTGAATGATGCTGAAGCCCAAAACACGGCCTCGGCCTGGCTGGAAGTGTAAATTCCCCTTGAAGCTGCTGTTTAGTTTATCCACAAACGTCTCATCAGTGGCCTGCATGGAAGCAGATTGCATAATCAAATGATAAGGCTGAAACAGAGACCCAAACAAGGCACATGGAAGCAAAGCAAGGTGTTGGAAGTGTCCTTGTCTGTGCAACAGTTTCATATTGTACTCTCTCTCTGACTCTCTACAAGGATGCCAATATTATTAGACTGTCCCTGATCTCACTGTCCTGTCTCATCAGTCACACATGTGGACACCTCTGTTCATCCTGCTCTTTAAAGTCACACTCCAACATAACAGCTGTCTCTGCAGCCCAGATATTTATGGCTACATTCCCTACATTATTTCCTCTGTCCCCTATCTCATGCATACCTGAGGGAATGCACTCTGCTCATCCAGAAGAGACAGGAGCCCAAGTGGCTTGGCCAGGAGCAGATTCTGTGGGAAAGGAGACACATTACACATCTCTAAAACAGTACAGGGCAGCCACTCTCACCTACACCACCCTTTGAAGAGCTTCTTCCCAGGTGCATTTCCTCCCCATGATAGAAAGAGCAAGACTCCTCTCGGCTGAATGGAGCAATTCTCTTCTATCAGTCCTCTCACTCACCAGAATAGGTTCATTATTGTTGAATGTGATAGTCTCCCAAGGCAGCTCTTCTTCTTTATAGGCAGCCTGCTCCAGCTGGAAAATGTGCTGAAACAGATAAAAGAGGTTGGAGCACCCAGAAGACTTGGCTAGATAATCCTGAGCATCTTCCTTCCCAGCCTGAACAGAGGACAGAGGTGTGGCTCTCTCACCCATGGCATAAGAGGACCAAGATGAAATGGCTGTTCTGCATGCTCATCCGTAAGCTTGTCACTCACTGATACTGGTGCATCAAGCAGGAACACTTCTCAGAGCATAAGTGTCCCTGCTCTGCCAACTTTGGTCACTGCTTGACCCTTCTTCTTCCTCCTTCCCTGCCCCAGTGCCTCCCCTGACACAGCAGAGAAGGTTGCTGCTCTCTACCCTGCTTCACTAATCATTGTTTCTGTCCTTCCAGGCAATAGACTGATTTTTTTTTCCAAGCTCTCCTTCATATGCCAGGTAGATCAGGGCTCTACTTTCTCCTCCACACAATATGAGATCACCCACAGCAGACTTACATGGTTGAAGAAGTGCTGCAGCTGCTCATTGGCCAAGTTTATGCAAAGCTGTTCAAAACGATTCACTGCAAAATTTTCAAACCCAAAAATATCCAAGATACCTAAAAGAAAGTAGAAGAGCATATCATGGAGCCTGCAGACCATCCCTGCAGATAGCTGCATACCCCAACACACAACTAAATCTCCCATCACCCAGCTCTTGGGGCACAGGAAAACCACAGTCAAGTCATCAGCGGCACCTCTCCCAATAACTTCCCTTGGAGAACTAGTTAGCAGAAGCCCCACTCCCACTGTCAGCTCCCCTGCAAAGCCAGAGTGCCTCAGAACTACAGCCTCACAGTTGCTTCAGACCAACCACTTGCTCAGAGTTGGCCAAGGCCCTACAGACTTCATGCTGCGGACTAGTATCTCCAACAACATCGTGTCTTTGACAATGGATCCCTGCATGCAATCTCTGCTAAACCTCATATTGTCCCTTTCCTTCGTTGTGGCTGAGGGTTGCACCTTTGAGGACAGAACTCACCTATCTCCCTCAGTTCCACCTCAGGATCCACGTTCTCAGCCAGCAGCTCATTGATCTTGCAAACAATCCAGCCAAATACTCGGCCATATGCCACCTTTGCAATGGAGTCCCGAGCATCTGCACAGAGAGAAGAACAGCTGCTCACTGAAGGGCTCAAAGGACAGTGGGGAACACAGCACACAAGCTGGCTCAATACATTCACCTCTAGCAACAATGTCTAGTGGTTTATGAAACTATTTTAAAGATCACATAAACATTAGACATCTGTCTGATCATCCCTGCCCCCTGCATGCTCACACAGAGTTCTTTCATTCTGAAATCTTCACAATCTTTCTACAAGATCAGATGTGACATACTAGGGCACTTGTGAAACCATCTAAAATGGAAAATTTCATTTCCAAAAATGTCCAGTCACTTTTTAGAAGATCTTGCTTTCTCCTCTGCAGATCTACTGAGTATGGATCCCCTCACTGCTAAACCAAGAAAGAGGCTCTAAGTTGTACCTGGAAAATGGAATTGTTATGTTCCTCCTAGCCCACAGCTGCAAAGTGTTCAAATGCTGTCAGCTAGGGGAGAACGCGACTGATGGAAAAACTTGCTGACATTTAAGAAGAAGGAGACAAAATCAACATGACCCACTGCATGATGAGAGACATACATTTTATTGTCTAGAGAGACGCAGGAGAAGACATTTAGGAAACAGAACTAGCTGATTCCACATTTTCATTTTTTTCTTTTATTGTTTTTAAGCAATAATCTAGAAATCCGGAGATTTCATGCTTTTTTATTTACAACAATAGAATCACAGAATAATTTGCCTTGGAAGGGACCTTTAAAGGTCATCTAGTACAACCCCCCTGCAAAACTTATTTTTTAAGTCTTCTATTTTAACTTAACCTTTTTGTGCATATTTTCTTGGATTATTTTCTTTTCTTATTGAAAGGAAAAGTAACACCTTGCGCTTGCTACTTTGACATACTCCCCTTTCATCTTACATCTTCCCTGATACTGTGCTATCTCATCGATTCTCTCAGTTATTTCTCCCTCTACTACCCAGAGCGCTGCACACTGCCAGCACTCTGCAACAGGAGCCTTCCCATCTTTTGTACAAACAGCTACAGTTTCCTTCTAGGCTAGACTGAGGGAGAAAGCAAAGCTAATTCTCTGCAGTCCCCCAGAGATCAAAGAAAAGCAGCATTCATGGTCCTCCATGTCAGGAAGAGACTAAACAGTTAAACACTGATAAACTTGCCTCCCTCCATGCAAGAGGAATGAAGGGGCACAGACAGACATCTTTGTTCCCAGCAAGCTGTACATGTGTGGAATATGGGTCAATCTTTCTGGCCAGCACATTTGCAATTCATTATGTTTCTTACCTTCTGCCTGCTGCTGGGTGTGAAAACGCTGAATCTGCTCGCCTCGGGTCACTGACATAGTACAAACAAGGCATTTTAACAGTTCATCTTCTTGGACTCCAAATTGACCCTGGGAAAGAGGAAATAGATGAGGAGAGTCAATAGTAAACCCTTACTCTATTTGTGGGGATTGTACCTCTTGCATCAGTGCAACACTGACTGTAATGGGGTCATGATTCAGACTAAGGCCTTTGAGCTCCGCTGTAAGATAAATATTACCATTACCATTAACATGCAGCACTGGAGTCAAATGCGGGCTCTGAGATCTTCATTACGCCTGCAATGACCACGCATACTCTTGCGTTCTCTCTGAAAAACTTTCTCCCTCCCAGTGCTGCCACCTTTTACTTTCTTTGGGAGCCACACTGGTCCCTGCTGAGTGGTTTAATGACTTACTGAACAGCAGCACACGGCGGGGACTGCAGGTGCTGGGATGTCTGAGCTTCAGCAGACATCAGAGTCACACCAACACCCAAAAGACTGGAAACAAAGGGAACTCAGATGCAGCTGAGCCCCTCAGGGATTGCTTTAACAGGAATTCCCCTCCCGTGTGCAAAAAGCAAGGAGCAGACTTTAAGACGTAAGACAAAAAGAAGTTGGCTGCTGAACAGATGTCGGTGGTTGTTTCAGGTGTGGTGTAGGAGGGAAACAGGCAGAGAGGTGGGATTGAAACCAAAAACCAAGGTTGCTGGGATTTCAAATAGGTCAAAGCAAAAGACACAGAAAGGGTAGAAATATGTTACATTTTCTACTCTGCATTGTTAACTAAGCAGGATAATGTATCCATCCCATATAATAAAAATGGGATGGTCCTGGCGAATATATGGACTTCTGTAAGGCCTTTGACATGGTCCCTCACAATATCCTTCTCTCTAAATTGGAGAGATATGGATTTGATGGGGGGACTGATTGGTGGATGAGTAATTGGTTGGATGGTCACATCCAGAGGGTAGTGGTCAAAGTCCAGATGGAGACTGGTGACAAGTGGTGTCCCTCAGGTGTCCGTGCAGGGACCAGCACTGTTCAGTATCTTCATCAGTGACACAGACAGTGGGATCGAGTGCACCCTCAGCAGGTCTGCAGATGACACCAAGCTGAGTGGTGCGGTTGACATGCCTGAGGGACGGGATGCCATCCAGAGGGACCTGGACAAGCTTGAAGAATGGGCCTGTGTGAACATCATGAGGTTCAACAAGGCCAAGTGCAGAGTCCTGCACCTGGGTCGGGGCAACCCCCAGTATCAGTCCAGGCTGAGGGATGAAGTGATGGAGAGCAGCCCTGCCCAGAAGGACTTGGGGGTACTGGAGGATGAAAAGCTGGACCTGAGGAGACAATAATGTGCTCACAGCCCAGGCAGCCAAGTGTGTCCTGGGCTGCATCCAAAGCAGCGTGGCCAGCAGGTCGAGGGAGGGGATTCTGCCCCTCTGCTCCCCTCTGGTGAAACCCCACCTGGACTCCTGTATCCAGCTCTAGAGCCCTCAGCACAGGAGAGACATGGACCTGTTGGAGCGGGTCCAGAGGAGGACACAACAATGGTCAGAGGGCTGGAACAGCTCTGCTGTGAGGACAGGCTGAGAGAGTTGGGGTTGTTCAGCCTGGAGAAGGGAAGGCTCTGGGGAGACCTTATTGCAGCCTGCCAGGACTCAAATGGGGCTTATAAGAAAGATGAGGACAGACTTTTTAGCAGGGCCTGTTGCAATAGGACAAGAGGTAATGGTTATAAACTAAAAGACAGTAGATTTAGACTGGATCTAAGGAAGCAATTTTTGATGATGATGGTGGTGAAACCCTGGCCCAGGTTGCCCAGAGAGGTGGTAGATGCCCCATGCCTGGACACATTCCAGGTCAGGTTGGGTGAGGCTCTGAGCAACCTGCTCTAGTTGGGGATGTCCCTGCTCATTGTAGGGGGGTTGGACTAGACAACCTTTAAAAACTATTCTATGATTCTATGATATACTTCTTAATCTGTGATAATTTCATGTGAAATCGTAGATAGTTTAATTTTGGATAACCAACAAAAATTGATAGCAGTTAAGTTGGTATCTTTGGACAAGATCTGTCAAAACCAAAGAACTAATGTTCAGATACTGAACACCTGAATTTATCCAAGGTATCATCACACTTAATAACATATAACATTTAATTTTAAAAAGCTTGTACTGCTATGAAGTCAACAAAGCATATACATCAGCATGCCTTGATATCGCCATATGCAAGATACTGGTTCTAGACACACAAGGAAAAGAAGCTGGGAAGTGCCTCTTTGGGAATGGATAGCAGTCAATAAATATGCAGTCATGGGGTCATAATGTGCATTTCTGGAAAAAGCTCATTGTTTTTCAGGAGCCTTCACACTCTGACGCAGAGACGTCCTCTGCCATCTCTGGCAGGAGCAGCTCCTGCAGTCACACTGCAAGTGGGAACCAGCATCATATCCATAAAGTTTCTGTCAGTTCTTCTTGTGACTCACCGCTGCAGCCTTCAGCCATCCCCGGGAGGCTTCACTCACTTTTACAGACCCATCGCTCTCCTCAGGCTCAAAGGTCACATTGCCCAGCGACAACACACCAGCCAAGATAGCCTGCATGTCCACTTGCTCCTAAAACACAAAAAAAAAGGTAACTGAAAACCTATCAGCATGTAAGATATACAACACAGAGGCCCCAGAAGTTGGAGAGGTGAGGGAAAGGCACAGGCAGCCTGTGAGAAAAGGCTCTTCACAAAGTCTGACAGACTCAGGTGGTTTGGAAGCAACATGGAAAATCCAGGGAGGAGAGAAATAGGACTGAGCCTCAGAACAGCAGCCAGAAAGAAACCCTATGCCTGCAGGAGGCACAGATGGAAATTAAATGACCCCAGAACTGACCTGTTCTTGGAAGCCCACCATGTCAAGAGCATTGCACACCTCTTGGTATTTGTGCTTCCAGCGCTGAGCTACATCCTGTGTACCAAATCGTCCACTTATGTACCTGAGAAAGTGTATATCCCACACAAAACCATCACACAATCAGCACAGCAAGTCAGTCCTACCCCAAAGGAACAAAGCAGATCAGCAGCAGTGGAGACACGAAAGGGAAAGAAACTTTCCCAAGGTAATGCAGCGAAGAAGAGACTTCAGACGTCCCAGCTTCCATGATGACCCCTAAGATCTCTTCATGTAGCTCCACTCAGATCCCACTCCAGCTTCCATTCGTTTACCTGTACCAGGCTCCACAGATAGAGCCACTGGGCAGAGGCATAGGCTCCATTATGCTGCTTTCCCCTCCACCCCCCATCATGAAGACTACTGCCTTTGAAGTACCTGTAGAGTGAAGGATCCAATAGCCCATACATCTCCTTTTCCTCTGGAGAGAGTCCAGCAAACATGTAGTAGAAGATGTGAAAATTCCTCTCCCCAGTATCTTGTTGCACTACCCGTGACTTCTCTAACAGGTACTCACTCAGCTTTGCACCTTGCACTGCACACAAGAAGGTGACAGGGTGAACTTTGCACCTGGGGACAGGAAGCTGACTGAGCTGTTCTGCATCTCTTGTTTGGTGATAGTAGCATGGAACTGCCTAAAATAACTTTCTTGTGTACAACACCCTCTAGGCTTCCCAGCACCGTGGAAATGGGCTTCTCCATGCTGCCCATCATCTTAGAGATGTCTGCTCACCTCCTTTAGCAGCAACCAAGGCTTCTGGCACCACGGAGTTTTACTGGTACTTTCCCTGCACTGTCAGCCCCGTATCCTTCCTGTACTCTCACACTGCCCAACAGAGGCCTTACGCTACAGCTGTGGTTGCTGTAAGATTTTTACTTAATTGCACACCTTTCCCACAGGGAGTCAGGTGTCAAAATTTCACCCTCCACAAGTTGTGGCTACTCAGTTCACTCTCTCCAGTACCAAACCACCCCCCAAACTAGGAATTGCTCTTGACTTTACCTGTGTTCTTCTGGAAACGCAGCTGTATGTATTTTCCAAAGCGGCTGCTGTTGTCATTCATCACAGTCTGGGCATTGCCAAAAGCTTCAAGCAATGGATTTACCTAAAACAAATGAGCAAGCAGAACAAGCATCCTTTAAATCAAGTGATCCAATCTAACTTACTTGGAAGAGTTTAACTTTAGCATTTACTATTTAGCATTCAGCTGTAATAGGAACCACTCCATGAGTACCCAAGAGCACCTGTTTTATCGTACTCTGGATAAAGGAACTGCAAGCGGCAAATATACCAAAAACTAAGCAACATGAGATTACTGAAAATAAGCACAATCAAACTGATTTGATCTCAGTAAGATCATTGACTCCTTTGTTAAAAGATAAGGTTGGTATAACAGATTTCCACAAAACATCTGACAGGGTATCATTAGATAATTTGACTTCTATACTACAACAATAAACAAGGTGAACATGGCACTCAGTAAGTATAAGCATGGTAACTTAGCTACTGAAATTTGTAGACAGCATAAGGCTCATAACAGTGAATTATAACAAAACTAACAGAACAATCAGACCAGCTTGGTAAACTTGATGCAAACAAGGTGAAATGACAATTTTTGTATATTTGAGCAAAGAATGCCTGCTGACTGGAAGAGCAATGCCCTAGGGTACATCCTG